CGCGAAGTAGACTTCCGGGGGCTCCGATGTCCAAGTGCCGACGCGGCTCCGCATAGATGAGAATATCGGCCATCGGGGCTGTGCCCGGCATTGTGCTGTGATTGGGCGGCTGTCCAGTCGCACGCGCGGCGTCACCTGCAGCGCATCATCGTTTTGGAGATTTCTGTTTTCTCGAATTTCGTCCGCGCGCAGTCTGGAAGTCAAGTCTTCCATTGGCGATTTTTCGTTCCACGTCTTCGACAGCCGGATCGTTTCGCGCGCGGCTGCCAAGGTCTGCTCTCCCTCGAGGGTCCTGAATCGCCTTTGCCGCCGATTCGCGGCTCATGTTCTCGCTATTGTTATGTCGGGCCTGTCCCCCTACGGGGATTTTCGACGAAAAATCAAAAATACCTCCAAAATAGTAAAACCGAAAATCAAAAAATGGTCAGGGGACTATGTTTTGACTATTTTCTGACCCTTTGGGGGCATTTTGGGGTTATTTTTCCATGTTTCGTCGAAAATTCCCCTGTAGGGGGTCACGCCCGACATAACGCTATGGATGTCTGCGTGCTTCTTCTCTGGACGGTCCGCGGTCGGAGTCGTGGCGGCGCCGCCCCGTCGGCGGCTCCCGGGGGCCCGCCGACGAAGACAGCGCGCTCGCCCGCGCAGCGGACCGCCCGGGAGGAGCGCGCCAAGAGCGGGGGCATCCAACCACCTGCGTTAAGTCGGGCCTGTCCCCCTACAGGGGGATTTTTCGACGAAAAATCAAAATACCCTCAAAATAGTCAAACAATAGTCCCAAAATAGCCTGGGGACTATTTTTGTTAGCATCTGTTGACCTTTTTGGAATATGTTTGGGGCATTTCTTACTTTTCGTCGAAAATCCCCCTGTAGGGGGACACGCCCGACATCATCTGAATTTCATTGTTCTAGTCATGTTCTGGCCCCCCCAGGGTTGCTTGAGAGTCTGGATGAGAAGGTTGCTGAGTGCATCGGCGACTCTTGCCATGCCGATGCTCCGCAGTACTTGGGCGGTCGACCTGCTGAGCGGGCTGAAGCGTCTCGGCCCTCAGTGCCTGGGGCGCCTCGAGCCGTCGCACCTGCGCGGGAAGAGCTGGCTCGGGGCCACGGTGCGGACGAAGGCGAGTCCAGCGTTCATTAGATTTGGCCTTGGGCATGGGGTCGGCAGCCCTCCTGGAGGGACGTCTACGGCTTGCCTTCACAGTTCTCGTGGGCGTCGTCGGCGGGCTCCGCGCTGGGGAGGTGACGGGGCTCACGGGCAGGCGACTCGCGGTGCGCGGCGGCGGCTGGCTGCTGCTCGCGCCGCTGCCAGGGGCGAGCACCGGGAAACGCGTAGGTGCCACCGAACAGGTGTCCGTCTTCGACAGGTGGGTTATCAGGTTCGCCGAGAAGGTTTCGAAGGAAGTCGCCCCGAACGAGCTCGTCTATCAGGGAGCGTTGCGCTGCTCTGCGAACGACTGTGCCAGGCTAGGCAGGCGTTTGGGCATGGCCCATAGGAGGTTCACCCCGTATTGTCTCAGGTGGAGTGATGGTGCTGCCTGGTATTTTATCCAGCACTGTTCGCACGATGCTACTCAGCACCTGGGACTATGGGCGCAAGCCAAAACAGCGCGAGAATAAATGCATCGACCAGACCAAGGCCGATTTAGCAGAGCTGTCGCTCCCGCCTTGGGGCAAAGAAAGGACAACCCTTGCAGAAGAGTTGATTGACGTTCTATAAACGTCAGGACGTGCTCGAACCTCCCTGTGTGATTGCATCTGTCTAGTTCCACTCTCGCCTCGGTGCCACCGTACCTGGTGTGGAAGCCTGGGAAGAGCCGACGGTGCAGGCTTTGGCATGGGTGCTTTGGGGGGCAGTTCGTCAGAAGCTGTCGAACTGGTTGGACGGCACTTGGTGCCATCGGTGCACTTGCTGCACCTGGCGGGAAGAGCCGGCGCACCGGGCACCTGGCGCCGTCTGTCGGGGCTGGACAGACCTCCTACCCTGACACGTCGATTAAGGAATTGGCCGTTTTCCGTTCGCGAGAGGGCGTCGCGGCCGTCGTTTTTGCGGGTCCAGGTCCGTCGGTCTCGGTCCCAGGCCGTTCTCACTAAGGGGAGGTTCATTGTTTACTGAAGAAGATCTTCGGCACCGCCTGTTTTCTGAGCCCTCCGGCCGCCTGACGCCCCGCCCGCCCGCGCCCTGTCTCCCCAATTAGGGCTACCCGCGTCCCGTTTAGCTCTTGACCGGAAGGGGCCCGCTCCCGACCCGCAGACCAAAAAAGTTTACTGAAGGGAGGTTTGTCCACAGCCGAATCTGGCACCTGGCACCACCGGCACGGGCCGGTGCACGCAGGAGCCGCGCGCTTCCGGGTGCAGGCCTGGCGCTTCCGCGCGAAGAGCTCTGCCCCTGCGAGGGCTCCCCCGCCAGGCGAGGGCTCTCGGAGCGGCAGAGCGGCAGGCGGGGGGCTGTTCCTCCCTTCCCGACCACGCCCCGGGGGCCCCCAAACGGTGCGGTGTGACCACACCGTGCGGTGAGCCAGTGGGGATCCGGGGTCACCGCGCGGTCTTGGGACTCGGGCCGTTCTGCGAGGACGCCTCGGGCGACGGGGGCCTCCGAGGCCCCAAGGCCGTGCGGCGACGGACCGTGCGGTGAGGCCTCTTGGGGGATTTCGAGGTCACCGCACGGTGCGTCACCGCACTGTTTCGGGACTCCAAACTTCAGGAGGGGAAAAAACACACAGACACAATTAATCGTCGATTCCCCAGAAAATGTTGGAAAATATGGGAAGTGGAGGGGAAGACAAAAACCCAGAAAATATTGGAAAATATGGGGAATCTCTTTATTTGTGTGCATTTATTTGTGTGTCCTGGGGCCCCTTCAAAAACGCCCCTGAGGGTGGCCACGCTGCTCTGCCGATGCCTCGACCAGGCAGCCCTCGCGCCGGCCGGCGCGCGCGCGCGCCGTGCTGCTGAGGCAGCTGCGGGCGGTACGGCAATACAGTGCCGTTTTTGATGCGTGCTCCGCGTGCGGATCATGTATTAAACATGCAGGGTGTTAGTACTGAAAACATACATTAATCGTGTATTACAAGCCATATCTGTTTGAAAATCCGTTGTGACAAACATTGCCCTGTAACTGATGCGGAATATCTGAGTGTTGGGTCTGGGCTGCCTTTGTTCGCACGCGTGTGTGTGTGTGTGTGTGTGTGTGTGTGTGTGTGTGTGTGTGTGTGTGTGTGTAGGGGCCGGGCCAGAGGGCCGCGGTTCTTTTTCAGTTTTCTGAGAAGGCCCGCCGCCTCTCCCTTCCCCGAGGCAAGGGAGGGAGAATCATCTGGACCCAACAATTGACGTTTAAGAAACGGCCCCGGGCGTTTACTGAACAGCCCTGCCCAGTTCAACTCCTTCCCTGGGTGCGTTTACGAAGTGGACTCGCTTGTCGGGGTGATTGTTATGGAGGTGGATGTTCTGCCCTCGACTGTGTCCCTTCGGATGCAATTCCTGGGAGGTGAAATTCTGATTTTGCCCTGGTCCGAAATCCGGTGTAATCCGGCTTCATCCCGGTTAATCTGGCCTAAGTAATCCCGCTTAAGCCCACTCAATACGGCTTAATCCCGCTTGATCCGAGGCCCACTCTGGCGTAAGAGCCCACCCGATGGAGCTTCATCCTCCTTCATCCTTCCGACGGAGACCTCCCAGTAGTTACCTCTTGAGATACGGCCAGAAACTTTGGCTTCGCGTGTCGCGCAGCCAGCCAGTTCTGGCCCGCCACTCTTCGGCGCGACGCGCTATCTGCATCCCTGTCCCCGAGCGTCCTTCCGACGAGGAGGAGGAGGCGGAGGAGAGAGGAGAGAGGAGAGAGGAGAAATGAGAGAGGAGAGAGATGATGATGATGATGATGATGATGATGATGATGATGATGATGATGATGATGATGATGATGATGATGATGATGATGATGATGATGATGATGATGTGATGATGATGATGATGCTGATGCTGATGCTGATGCTGATGCTGATGATGCTGATGCTGATGCTGATGCTGATGCGATGCTGCTGATGATGATGATGATGATGCTGATGCTGATGCTGGATGATGATGATGATTGATGATGATGATGATGATGATGGGAGGAGGAGGAGGAGGAGGGAGGAGGAGGAGGAGGAGGAGGACCTCCCAGCAGTTGCCTCCCTCCCCCGTGGGCCGCCGATGCACCGACCTCCCGTCGACGGCGGCGACGACGGCGGCGCCGACCTGCGGCGGGACTCGGCCACGCCGTGCCGCGCGGCCGCGCCCGGGGCGCCACCCGGCAGGCCCGGAGAGGCCTCGCCCACCGCCCAGCGCTCAGGGAAGGGAAACATCGGACACACTCCTCCTCTCTCCTCCTCTCTCCTCCTCCTCCTCCTCCTCCTCCTCCTCCTCTCCTCCTCCTCTCCTCCTCCTCCTCCCTCCTCCCTTCCTCCTCCCTCCTCCCTCCTCCCTCCTCCCTCCTCCCTCCTCCCTCCTCCTCCTCCTCCTCCTCCTCCTCCTCCTCCTCCTCCTCTCAAGGAAAGTGTATGAAATATGGCAAGTGGGGGGAAGGCGAAACTTCACAAACGATGACAAGAAGTATTGCGAATCCTGGGACGTGTGTCTATTTGCTTGTGTGTGCTAGGGCCCCTTCAAACACATACTTTGTTTTGAATGCAAGGCCTGGGAGGTTAGGCTTCCGCACCAGTGCTGGTAGATCCATGGCCTCCTCTGCCTGCGCCTCCCCTGTCCCGCCCGTGCCCGCGGAGTCTGGTGTCATGCTGGGCGAAATTTTGGCTGATCTGAGTCAATGTTACCAGCCTGGAACATATCCCTATCCCTATGCTGGGCATCTCCTCATCACGATGCCAATCCTAGGGATTCCCTCCTTTTTTGAGGGCGCATCCCTAAGATTGTCATCGCCCTTTGGCGTGTCAATCTTAGGGATAGGGATAAGTTCGAGGCTGGTAACAATGGCCTGCCCACCGGTCTGATTCAGAGAGGCATCCGCTACTCCGCCGGCTCCCCGGAGAGGGCTCCTCGGGCAGAGACTCTCGCGGTGCCGTCGTCGGGCTTTCCGGGGGACGTCGTGGGCTCTCTCGGTCGGCGCCCTCTCGCGATCCCTTGGTACCATCCCGGGCCGCCTTGTCTTTCGCGGGCTGATTTTGCTCTTCGAACGCCTCCCAGGAGTCGTTTCCTGTCATCTTCGTCCGTGGATCGACGAGGCGACGCTTCGCCGGCGGCGCCCTGCGGCGGCCTGCGAGCGGCGGCGGCGGCGCTCTCGAGCGCGGCCCGACAGGCGACCTGCAAGGGGGAGACGATCCCCGCCGTGCCGAACGCGCAGCAGGGGTGCTGGGACAGCGAGGCCTGCGCCTTGCGGGGGTCAGCGGCGGCGCTCGGAGGGCTCACATCGACCCCCACTCGCCCATCGATCGCCGATCGGGGCCCGATGGCCCACCCCGCCCATGATCAGGCGATCGCAAACATGGATCAGGGGGGCGTGGATTGGCGACGGGTCCCGGCACCGTGGGAACTCGCGGATGTCCGCCGCCAAGCGAGGCGGCACAGGCCGCGTTTTGGGGAGGGCACCTCCCCCGACCCATGGATTGGCGACCGCGCGCCAAGTCCATGGATTGCTGATCCGTGTATACGCGCCCCCGGCAGGAGCGTCCTGATGCGCTATATAGGGGGCCTACCGCCGATCTATGGGCGACGTGCAGCCGATTCCAGGTCGATGTTTCTGCACCTGAGCGGATGCCCCCCTATCGTTGCCGTTCCGGCGCGGGAGGGGGAGGTGTACAGTCGAGTCCAGCCGGGGGGATGCGTCTGTGAACCAGCGCCACTTCGATTCCAGGCCACCGGTTTCCATTTGGTTCTGGACGGTCCCCCGGCGATTCGAGCCAGTTCCAGCCCAATCCGAAAGTCGGGCGTGTCCCCCTACAAAGGGGCTTTTGGACGAAAAATAAAACATGCCCCAACAGTGCACCAAAAATGAGCAAAAATAGTCGAAACATCGTCCACCGACAATTTTTTTCTATTTCTGAATGTTCCTCCTGCAGACGGACATCTCGAATCCCTGGAGTGCAACACTTGCAGCACAGAGACAGTAAAATGCTGTGGCGAGCCGACTTAGAGCTGGTGGCAACGAACGAACTAGCGAGGCCAGCGTAGAATATTGAAGCCCAGATAAGAGAGATTGGTCAAGCATAAGGCGCGAGGGTCCTCCTCCTCCTCCTCCTCCTGCGACGTGGCGCAGACTCGATGCACCCGCATGTAGCGTTTTGATCCCTGTACGAAAGGATCCGCCGAGGCGCGCGGTGCGCGGCGGCGGGCGATGGGACGGTGCGCCACCGCCCCCCCCTTCCCCGCGCTCGGCAACGAGAATAGGGGTCAGCAAGTGCCAAATAGCCCCTTCCGGGCGACCACTCGATTGCGCATGGGTGAGCGACCAGCGGCGCCAGCCAGAGAGGACAGCACCCGACGCAAAGTGCACCCCGCGCGAAGGCTGCTAGGAATCCTGGACTCTGCGGGACGTCTCAATGTCAGGAGGGAAAGAAGCACACAGACACAATTAATCCTCGATTCCCAAGAAAATATGGGAAAACTTGGGAAGTGGGGGGAAGACAGAAACCCAGAAAATATGGGAAAATATGGGGAATATGTTTATTTGTGTGTATTTATTTGTGTGTCCTGGGGCCCCTTCACAATAGCACGTTGCATCAATAGGTCATTCTCGTCCTATACTGCAGAGGGACGGGCCCGACTTGAGGCCACCCCCCCCCTCCCCGGGGGCGCGAGGAGCGCGCCCCGATGCCTCGCCGCGGCCCGAGCGCGCCGGGGGAGAGGTGCGCCCCGCGTCCCCGCCGGGTGGCGCGCGCGGGGCGGTTCTGCGGGGCGCGGGGCGCGGGGCGCGACCTCCTCCTCCTCCTCGTCCTCCTCCTCCTCCTCCCCCTCCCCGTCCCCTTCCCCCTCCTCCTCCCCTCCTCCTCCCCCTCCCCGTCCCCTTCCCCTCCTCCCCTCCTCCTCCTCCGCCTTCTCCTCCTCCTCCTCCTCCTCCTCCTCCTCCTCCTCCTCCTCCTCCTCCTCATCCCCCTCCTCCCCCTCCTCCTCCGCCGCCGCCGCCCTGCCAAGAGGGGTCCGAGCAGGTGGGCTCGGAGGATCGCGCGCATCGCCGGTGCATCGCCGATGCGGCTGGCGTGGGGCCCGGTTCTCACCACGCCGATGCATCGCTGGTGCATCGCCGACGCATCGGCGAGGCGGCGCGCGGTCTTCCGATCCCGAGCACACTGACCACGTTTGGGCGGTCACGGGGGACTGGCTGGTGACGGGTGCGCTGGCAGCTCGTAGGAGAGGAGAGTCGCCAGGGCAGTGGCATAGGGACGCGCCGCTCTCCCGCGGGGTGGCGATGGGGGAGTGGCGGGAAAACGCTTCGTTGCTGCATCGGTCCGAGGCTGGGTCTACTGAGAGGTCATACCCATCAGGATGGCGCTGATTTCAGAGGCCAGGCGAAGGCTGGCAAACTTGTGGTTACAAAAACGGAGCTCCGGGAAATTGTTTCTGCTTCTTCCGGGAAGCAGCCCGTTGTTAACTATATTTAGCGCGTTGAGTTTCATTATGGGTTTTTGTTTCGTTGTTCTGGGAAGACCGTTTTAGCAGCCACGGATTTGCCAGCTCTCGCCACGGATTTGCCAGCTCTCGCCCAGCTTCCGATACCTGAGGCAAGAGGCTCATGCATCCCTCGGTCCCGGCCACGGGTGCAGAAGAGTAATTGCGTGCCCACGGTTCGGCGCGTTCTGGGAGCCTGGCGTCCTTGCAGAAGCCGCTGTCATAGGTTGGCTTGGCTGTGTGTTGTCGAATCTTGGGAGCATCGATGTGTTGTCGAGATAGAGTACCTTCGGATGCAACTCCTGGGAGGTCAAATTCTGATTTTGCCCTGGTTCGAAATCCGGCTTAATCCCGCTGAATCTGGCCGAATCCCTATTAATCCCGCTGACTCCCGCTTGAGCCGAGGTCCACTCCAGCGTAACAGCCCCCCACTGGGGCTTAATCCTCCTTCATCCTTCCGACGAAGACCTCCCAGTAGTTGCCTCTTGAAGTACCTCGTAGATCCAGTCTCTGCCCTGTTCATGCTAGACTCATCTCGTTGGAAGGTTGCACAGAGCCATTCGGGTAGTTCTAGACAGCGTTGCTGGCGTGCATGGCGCCATGAGGTCACTATGCCAGTGTGGGCTCGCACGCATGACAAAACATCTGAACAATTGGAATCTCATAAGAACGAGAGGAGGAGGAGGACGAGGAGGAGTAGGAGGAGGCTGAGGCGATGTGTCCTCCTCCGTCATCCCCCTCCTCATCCTCCATCCCCCTGGAGAGGAGGAGGAAGATGAGGAGGAGGAGGAGGAGGAGGAGGAGGAGGAGGAGGAGGGGGAGGGGGAGGAGGAGGAGGAGGAGGAGGAAGAGGAGGAGGAGGAGGAGGAGGTGGAGAAAGCAGCAGCGGAAGAGGATGAAGGGGGCCATGGGGAGGAGGAGGCCGGCCCGCGGGGCTCCAGACCGAGCCTGACGCGGGCCCCCGTACGCCTTCCACTCGAGCAACCGCCCAGCGCCATTGTGTAATGGCGCTCAGGGCCCTCCCTCCTCCTCCTTCTCCAGCCCCCTCCTCCTCCTCCAGCTCCAGCTTCCTCCTCCTCCTCCGCCTCCTCCTCCGCCTCCTCCTCCTCCTCTCTACTCTCTCCCTCTCCTCTCTCCTCTCTTCTCCCTTCTCTCGCCTCTCTCCTCTTCCTCTCTCCTCTCTCCTCTCTCCACTTTCCTCTTCCCTTTTCCTCCTCCTCCAGTACCTCTTCCTCCTCCTCTCCTCCTCCTCCTCTTTTCTCGTCTCTCCTCTCTTGTTCCTCTTTCCTCTTTCCTTGTACGCCCATTCCCGCATCGTTTCCGCAACATGCATCTCGTTTGTCCTCTGCCAGCGGCGTGCGGCGCCAAACGCTGGCACGTGCGGTTGACGCAGGTGATCGTTTTCGGATGCACGCATTGTTTTGCAGATCGGCGCGGGCCCTCGCACCCCCTCTCCTCAGAGCCCCGAATCATCAGGGGTAACTCGGGTCAGGGTTAACTCGGGTTCGCTTTTCGGGATTCCGAACCCAGAGTTACCCCAGGCCCGAGTTACCCCGGATAACTCGGGCGTCCAGAGCCCCAAATCATCAGGGGTACCTGGGCTAATTCAGGTTCGTTTTTCGGGAATCCAAACCCACATTACCCCGGACCCGAGTTACCCCGGATAACTCGGGCGCCCAATCCCCCCCCCCATGGAGTAGGTCTTTGCTGTTTCTTGGCGCCTTCAAGCTGGTGGAGTCTCCCCCATAGTGGACGCCCGGTTGCAAACAGTCGTAGTAAGCAGAGGTCCGGTCCCGAGCCATACACCTCCCCCCTCCCCCCCCTTCCGCCCAATGTCGAAACGCCGAATCCGAAAACGCTCACCAGTTGTCGATCTTGAGGCCCGTTGGTGGAGAGGACCGAGCCTTTGCTTCCAAGACCAAGTTCGGCACGGTTTTTGTTTCATCGCGCGAGAGTTTCAGGGCTCACTCCACTTCCCTTCGGGAGTGCGCCCTGGTCGCAAAACCCTGCACCTGCACCGGTCCGGGCCAGGCTGGTCCTGGATTCTTCTTTCGTGCATGTGCCCTCCTGGCCAAGCCATGAGGGAGGGCCCAGGCTGCCGAGCCAGGATCGGCGCAGGCGTACCCATCGGTTTTTCAGATTCCCAGATTCCCATAACGCATTTGCTGCCTTCCTACTGCAATCATCGAGCTGAGGCAGATTCCCCTTTCTCTTCAGGGGGCTGGCGGAAACCCAACCCTGCTTTCAACGCCCTCCCACTTCATGCTCCCCCTCACCTCTCCCGACTGATGGTTGCAGTTGGTGCCTTCCTGCCCACCCGCCCCGGCCCCGGAAGGTGGTGAGCACCATCGTGCACGGGAAGAACTGCACCTACACCTGCAACCCTGGTTTCCGGGGGCAGCCGGTCGCACCGCCCCTCGAGCGGGGGGGGAGGGGGGAAGGGAGAAGAGGAGGGCAGGGGATGGCGGGCGAGAGAGGAGTGGGAGAAGGAGAGGGAGGACGGAGACGAGGAGCAGGAGAATCGAGGGGGGGGGTGTCGAGCAGGAGTCAGGATGAGCAGCACCAAGAGGTCACAGTTCACGGCAAGAGAAGGAGCAGGAGGAGGAGGAGGAGGACGGGGAAGAGGAGGGAGGAGGAGGAGGAGGAGGAGGAGGAGGAGGAAAAGGAGGAGGAGGAGAAGGACAAGGAGAAGGAGATGGAAAAGGGGAGGAGGAGGGAGGAAGGGAGGGAGGGAGGGAAGGGAGCGAGGAGGAAGAGGTGGAGGAGGAGGAGGAGGAGGAGGAGGAAGAGGACGGAGCCCGCACCCCGCAGCACAGGGGGAGAATGTAGCACGCCACGCCTTCTTTGTTGCCCTTCGCGCCTCTCATCGCTGCTCATCCTGAGTTCTCCTCCCTGCTTGAAGCCTTGGTGGTCGAATTTGATGCGCACACGAGGGATCTCTCCGTGTGGGACCGCTTGGAGGCGATCAAAGCTCTCATGTTTGTGGCTGCCCAGCAAGTCCGCGAGCTTTTGAAGGTCACTGTCGCTACGTCTTTAGAGCTGAAACATCACTGGGCGATGTTCGCTCTGAGGGGAGTCAGGTTGAGGAAGGGGTGGATGATTGGTTCTGCGCTCAAGTGCTACTCCACGTTGTCCTCTCACTTTAACGTTCACACGCTCGAGTGCACGAATATTCGGGGCCTCTGCGCCCTGATTCGTTGCATCCAGATGCAGCTCCTGGACCAGGAACAAGAGGAGATTGAGCGTTCTGATGCACCTGAGCCGACGAAACAGAACTTGAAAGCCCGTGTTCTTCGTTTTCAGGAACTCTGGAGGAGATTTCGAAGCCGTACCGCCGTGTCCTGTATCTATGAGGAGTCTGGGGAGCCTTGTGTCTCTTTGGAGCGGTCTGCGGAAGTTCTTCGGGATCATTGGGCTGGAGTGTTCGCTCCCTGTGAACTTGACGAATCCCTTTGGCCTCAGGCCTCTGCTCACATCCAGCAGGTACCCGAGGAGCTTCCAATGGAGTGGCTTGTTCCTTATCCTACCTTTGTTGACTACGTTCGCGCCAGATGCCACAGCATGCCTGGCCCTGATGGCATTCCATACCGTGCATGGCGAGCCGAACCCGCATGCCGTGCCCTTTACGATGCCTACTTATGTTTCTTTCACGGCACCGTCGAAGCTCTTCCTGCTGATATGTGTCACAGTCTTATGGTGTTCCTACCGAAAGGCTCGGATGATCGTGATGATGGTCCTCGTGTCTCCCGTCGTCCGCAAGATACCCGCCCTCTTAGCATGAGCAACACGGACATTAAAATCCTAGCGGGTATTATGTCGATCCCTCTTGCCGCCAATTCCTCTTCCCTCATCTCGCCTGCACAGAAGTGTGTGCACGCCAGGGACATGGTAGCCAACATTGTCGAGGCAGAAGCCTGGGGGGTAGAGCAATATGCACGTGGTCATGACAACGCTGGCCTATTGATGACCGACTTCTGTGCTGCGTTCCCCTCGCTCGCGACGCAATGGCTATTGCATGTGCTTACCCGCATGGGCATCAGTTCTGCTGTTATTCGTTTCTTCACGCTGCTGTATCAAGCTCAGTATGCCACTATTGTACTGGGAGGGAAGAGGCATGGGAGGATTTGCATGGGGAGAGGAGTGAAGCAAGGATGCCCATCCAGCATGCTTCTTTTTGTCCTGGCGGCTGACCCTTTGCTCAGATGGGTCCAAGCATCGCTCGCGTCTCACATAGCGCTCTCGCTAGCATACGCGGACGATTTCTGCTTCGGTCTTCCCGATATATTTACTTCGTTGGGGCCCGTCTTTCACAAGTTGGAAGACCTTGAGCGTATTGCGGGGCTTCGTCTCAACTATCACAAATGTCAGTTACTCCTGGTTGGGAATCTTGATATCTCCTGGGTTCGGTCCTCCGTCAAAGTTCTGAAGGGTGACATCAAACGGCTTCAAGTGCTTCACTGTGTCAAATATCTTGGGATGTGTATAGGTCCTCGGGGATCCTCGGAGGTCTGGTCGGAGGCTCTTCGGAAGTTCAGGCTCCGTGTGGGGACCTCTCGCCGCCTGGGCTTGGGTCTTACTCGTGCTGCTGTTGCTTTCCGTGTCATGTGTGTTTCCGTGCTTGGCTTTATTCTCCAGCTCAACCCTATCAGCAAGCAGCTACTTCACGCCTATCGTGAGTCTGTCATCTTTCTCACGGCTGGACCGAGGAATGCATTCAGTTATGCGATGTGTACACAGCTTCGCCAGCTTAATCTTCCTGTTGAGTTTCCTGAGCTGGCGTCACTGGCCCGAGCGACATGCTTGAGGTATATCTTGAGGCGCCCTGCTGTTTTAGAAGTGTTCGCCCGTCTATCTTCTCTCGAGTTTGATGATGACGTGATTATGGTTCGGGTTCGCACCGGCTGGTGGAAATCCAGCTTTCTTTCATATATGCGCACACTGTATGCATGGTACACGAGCATCCCGTTGCGTGTTGATGAGTCGAGTCGCAAGCTCCAAGCCCTACTTTACGCTCGCTGTCTTAAGCACTTTGGCCCTCGGGAAGATGCCCGCAGTATTCTCTATCGTCGGATTTCGGCATGGTTCCCTCAGCTAACTCTTCCGATGATGGATCGTTTCTTCCTGAACTCGTTCGTCCTTGTCGAGAGTACTCAACCATATCTGTTGGTAGGCATATATCGTTTCTTGTGCCGTGGTCTATGTTCCTCGCGTAGATTTCATGCCAGATCTGCTGGTTGCCTGTTGGGATGCCGAGATGATGGTTCTCAGGACCTTGATTCTGTCGAGCATTACAGTCGTTGCCCTCGTCTTGCTGCTCTCTTCCGTCGTTGGCTTGGTCACTTATTTATTTCGTCGTCGTGGTTACCTGAGGGTTAGCCCTGGCTCCTCCCTTTCCTTCTGCTGTCACCGTCGCCGATGTCATCCAATGTTCTGTTTGCCGTGTGTATAGATGCTTTTCTTGCATCTCACAATAACCGTCGTCTCGGCATCTTTGGCTCTGTTGAGCAGCATTTTGAGGCTCGACTGAGAGTCACTGCTCGGAGGCACCGTATTGTGGCCAACGCCTGGAGGAACCAGGCGATTGTTTTTTTCTCTTCCTCCTCCCCTTCCTCCTCCTCTCTGGCAGTGCGTGATGTTTCAGCTGCTTCGGGGCCCTCGGAGCCGCCCCGTGGCGTGCGCCACCAGGGCGGCCCGCGAGGCCGATGGCATGCCCGCGGTCATCGCCCCCTCTTGGGTGCCGCTGCACAGAACAGTGGCGAAGGGAGTGTGGCTCCAAGTGCTGCACCAAGTACGTTCAGGGGTTGTCCTGGGGATCAGGGATGAAAAAAAAAAAAAAAAAAAAAAAAAAAAACCTCTCTGGGCCTCCGGGGACCTAGAGGATGCCAGGCATCTCTGCAGTCACCCAATGGGTTTCGTGGAGGCGTCCGCGATATAACAACATGCAGCATTTGAGAGTTGAAGGACTCGCCACTGGCCACAGCTCCCCCGCCTCCCCCCGCCTTCTGCTTCCCTCCAGTGCTCCCAGTCTGCGTCCTCGCCGTCGTTCTCCCCTTCGCCCTTCCTCCTCCCTCGCGGTCATGCTGCTACGCCTCCTCACTGTCCCCTCCTCCTATCTTCCCTCTTTCTCTCTTCCTGTCTCTCTCTTCTCTCCTCCTGTCCCATGTCTCTTTCTCTCATGTTGCCTCTGGCTTCTGTCTGCTTGCTTGTCTCTCTCTCTCTCTATCTCTCTTTCTCCTTCTCGCTCTCCAGCCTGGGGTCGAGGGCCCCAGGCCCAGAGCGCAGCCAGGGCGCGAAGAAACCTCCCGCGCCCATTCGGTGCGACCTTCAACACCGCGCCCTCGCTGCGGGGCCCGGTGCGTGCCGCCTGCCCTGGCGCGCACACAAGCGCGCGCCGTGGCGGCCAGGCTCGGCGGCGGGCGAGGGGAGGAAGCCAGAAGGAACATGTATATATATATATATATATATAATTATACATAAAATACATAATAAAAAAAGAAGGAGGAAGCGATAATCGGAAGCGGACAGACCTCCGGCCCTGACACGTCGATTAAGGAATTGTCCGTTTTCGGCTCGCGAGAGGGCGTCGCGGCCGTCATTTTTGGAGGTCCAGGTCCGTCGGTTTCGGTCCTAGGCCGTTTTCACGAAGGGGAGGTTCTTTAAAGGGAGGTTTGTCCACCGCCGAAAGAAGGAAAAGGCTGCTGCAGAGGGCAGCGGGGCTTCTCAGAGGCCCTCGCGCACTCGAGAAGTGTCCTGTGCCCTCGGGTGAAGGCTTGGACAACGTCTCAAAAGGCCGGGTGACTCCCGAGCCTTCTGAGTCGGGAGCCTCGCGACGGGGGTCAATGCAAACGGGGGTCAGCCAGAGCGCCGGATCTTGCAGGATCTTGCAGGGCCACGGTCGCATTGACCCGGGTTTGGGTGCAGGAACCTGCAGGATCTTGCAGGATCCTTCGCATTGACCCGGGCTTGGGCGCAAGATTCTGCAAGGTCTGACTGGCCTGGGTCTGGATTGACCCGGGTCAGCAGGTCTCCGACTGAGTGGCCGCCCCTTCTCGTTTCCCCCCGGCCTCGCCGCCGACAAGTGTTTCCGTCGTGCGCCTTCAGTCCCAGAGCGGCCCGTCAAGCCGCCAGGGGCAAGATCCGCCGAAAAGTAACCTTGCCGGATGGCAGCCTGCCCCGAAAGGCAGCCTGTGTCAGTGTAGCGAGCTGGCCCACAGGCGCTCTGCCGAATCCGGCATGGCATACGGATATCAGATCACCGCTCCACCCAGCACACTCTCGGAGGGGCGAGCTGAGAAAATTGCGATGGCAATCGGAAGTCGCTTGCACCATGTTGTCCTACTCCCCTGACGCGCAGAGCGGGCTTCGTATGTGACCAACCAGGATCCACGGCCTCCTGGCCGGTGT